CACACAATACACGGAAACACCAAATGGTGTAAGCCTATACTCCTGCAATAACACAGATACTGCTTATGACCCTGAATTGAAAAATGGTCTGTGGTTGCTGGGTAATACCCCTCTAAATTTTGATGATAATCATATAGTTGTGGGCGAGAAAAAATTTAATAGTAGTGAAGGTCTACGACAACTGCTATTTTGTAAAAATCCCGGAAGTTTTAGTGTGAATGATGCGCAAATATAAAAACAGATATTAGAGATGACAGGGGTTCACAGAGATTCTGTGGGCCGTTTGAGGACTAAAGCGTGTAAAGAAAAATTTAATACAGTCATTAAACCTCTATTTAAAAGAACCGTGGAAGGTATGGAAACATTACGTCAAGAAAGCAGGGCCTAGATTCTACTACTAAAAACAATAATAAATTCCATGAAAATATCAAAAACATTACTACACCGACTTCATAATTGGACTGATCCAAACATCCCAGCTAACATTGCTTGAGTTCAAACAAAACTCAAACCTTGATTTATCAAGTTTTGATGTTGTCTTGAGCTCACATTGATTTAAATTTTTGAGGTTAAATCAATGCTTGAGCTCCCATTGATTTTAATTTTTGAGGTTAAATGATTTTACCTCAAGAGTTGAAATCAATGTGAGCTCAAGTTTTGAGTTAACCTCAAAAAGTCGGTCCAAGGTTTATAGTCATAATTTATAAATTTATATACATATATGTATAGGATGGATAAAAAAAACCTTATGGGTATACTTCTGTTAGTATTGTAAATCCATATCAAATAATGGCAGGCTTTTGCAATGGTTTAAAATAGGTATAATTTTAATAATAATTATTATTAAAAATATAATAATTGAACCAACAAGGATTCAATTTTTAAATAATATAATATTTATTAAAAATATAATTTTAATAATAATAAATATAATTATTAATATTATAGGTATTTTTAAACAATTACAAAGCCCGCCATTAATTGCAGTTGCAATTGCAAGCTTTCGCGAATCGCGGGCTACTTTACCGGCTTTATTCAGAGATTTTTTCGTGCATCAATACGCAAATTATTCTTGTGTCGTGAAAGTTAATATTAAAAATAAATTGGTAAGTAAACTTAAAATCCGTTAGTTACTGTTTTCTTAAGGAAAACATTGTAAATAAATACAACAAAATCAGGAGAAAGTGAGGTTATAATAAAGTTTGTTATTAATGAAATTTACATAATTGGAGTAGATAAAGCATAGTATTACACTCGAGATAATGCGCATTATTAACTCGTGGGTAATAGGCTGCATTATCTCTTGTATAATAATATACTATTATTTTTAATTTCCTTTATTTGTTTTTAGGTCATCTGCTGAAAGCAGAATACTTCAAGAGCTTGCTGAAGTTCTGCCAAATCAAAGGTAAATAGGGAAATTCTTCAAAGCTTTGTCAAACAGAATTGATGCTTTGTATGTGGGGACCAGTTTTGACGCAAACATTTCCAGCATCCAACAGTTGAAGGGATTTCCATTGAAAAATTGGGCAGAATTTAACCAGTTCAAGTCCAGTGAAACACTTAATGAAAGAAAAAGTCTGGTGGGTTGAAATATCGTCAACCTAATATAACAAGGTTGTATGTTAAAAAAAAACGAAAAATTTAAGTCTATGTGTCTACAGGATTATACGTGGCCTACGCTTCACATACCACTTAATAATTCTATAGAATGTATATTGTATGTATAGTATATGTATACATTGTATACATATATATAGAGTTATTTTCAAGTTGTATGTCAAGGGTGGATTACATAAAACCTTGTAGAAGCATAAACTTAAATTTTTCGGTTTTTTAACATACAACCTTGTTATATTAGGGTGACGATATGTTGAATGTGTGCCAGTGTTTATATTAAAGATAAAATTTTATTGCAGTTCATTTACCTAAAAATCTTGGTGCAAATATGGCTCTTAAAGAAACGATAACTGATATTTTGACAATGGAGTTCACCTTTCTGGGAAATAATAATAAAAGGGCCTTCATTGATACAAATTACAGCTCTTAAAGAAGCGATAACTGATATTTTGACAATGGAGTTCACCTTTCTGGGAAATAATAATAAAAGGATACAAAATTATTTCACGTAATCTATTGTAAGTCAATGTTTTCATCCTTTTTTCATTAAGTTTTAGTTTTCATTGGCAATTTCTTCTGTCTACAGTTGCTGTACAGGGTCTTGTTTTGAAAGCCCCACATCAAATAAATAGTTCTTGCCACACATTCAAGAAGCATTAAGAATCAACAGACAACGTGAGGCAAACAAATTAAAAAAGCAGTAGAAAACACCAGAAAGTGAAGCAACAAATGATAATCCTCAAAACTATAGTTTTGTATACAGTCAATAAGGATACTGTTGAAAAGGAGCAAATTTAAAAATTGTTTTTTTGTATATTTTAATATTTTGTTTATAAATTTTGGTTGTGTTTTAATTGCCTATTTTATTTTATGCAAGAAAACCTTAATAACTATATAATTATGGGTTTTGAAAGGCAAAAGGAGTGTTTATTTGATGCAAACATATCCAAATTTAAAAAAATTATCAATTTAAATGCTAGCATTTAAGTTGGTAATTATTTAGATATGTTTGCATCAAATAAACAGTATTTTTTCCTTTCAAAACCCATAACTTGATTTTTTCAAATATTTGAATTAATCCGCCAAAAGTAGGCAGCGCATGCGCGCATCCGATTCGAATTTAATCGAAAATCAAGGTTTGATATCACATTGAGCCCAAATGAGGAACCAACTTGATATGCTTTTGACCTCAAAGCTTGATGTATAAAATCAAGTCTTGAGCTCGCATTGATATCAACTTGAACACCACTTTGTTAGCTGGGATGCTTGTTAAGCGTTTAAAACAGCTACATGAAGAAGATCGGGAATTTCAAGAAATAATTGCTGAGCTTAAACGAACTGGATGTATTGAATAATAACGTTAATCCTTTCTAGTGTAATTTTAGTTTACTTATAGAAAAATCCAAATAAATAATATAAAAAAGAAATTTGTTTTTATTTTACCTTAATAATAATCATTAAAACTTTCTGTACCTTTTCAGCCAAGTCTTTTCTGTTTTTATTTTACAATCTCAAAGTTTAATTAGTTTAATATATTAAACAAAATTAAATTTATTTTCAATATTAAATATTCTAACATGTAAATAAAAATACCTTATACAATATTTTAGGACTAAATATAATAAATTATAAAATTCATTTAAATAATTTTTTCTACTCCCACCTTTAAAACGCCCTTTATAGTACATGTTTCCATGACACTAAGTGACCTTTTAAATACACATTGACAAGTTGTGGCTTTATGGCGCTTTAGTCACGGGCTGAAGTTACCAACAGGTTTTAGTCACGGGCTGAAGTTAGTTTTAAGTTAGTTGACAGTTGTCAAATGTCATACAATCGTTAAAATAAAGTGAATAAATGTGAAAATTATTTTATTATCTCAATATTATCTCAAAACAAAAATACAAAAGTATTAAATAGTTTCTCAACGCCAATATTTGAAAAGTTTATATGAACATTGTACTGACCTTTTAGTTTCGCCGGCAGTAAACTATAACTTAAATTCGGGCACAGACTCGACTGTAAAGTCCTCATAAAACCTTTTATTTACTTTCACTGTGAAAAACTGACAATTTTCAAGAAATACATTTCGATTTATAACCTTTATAATCTGTGTTTATAAAATTTAAAAATGTGACATTTGACGGTGACACACAGATTCCCCTATTGTTTCATAGATGGCGCTCTATACAAATTTTTGATTTAAATCATTTTAAGATAATAATAAGTATTTGTTGTAGAAAAAGTATAGTATGCACCTCGTTTATAAACTTTTCTATACACTCATTAATTTTAGCAATCGCTCGCAAGCTCGCTTGTGCCTAAATTAAATTCGTGTATAAAATGGCGTTTATCAAACTTGATACATAATGTACCATTATCTACTCCACCATTGTTAAGCTGTGACTTTATAGCGTTTTAATCACGGGCTGAAATTAGCAACAGTGGCTTTTGAGGATATTAGTCACGGGCTGAAGTTAGCTTTATTATTAATTATGAGGTTAAATCCGTTTTGACAGATGTCAAATGTTTAACAAATAAAATTGGCTTTAAATTCTTCTTTTTGTTCGTTGTAGATGAAGTATAGTATGCAACTCGTTTTATAAACTTCTCTAGACACTCGTTTTTATTAAACACTAGCTCGCAAGCTTCGTTCGTGCCTAATAAAACTCTTAACTAAAATGGGGTTTATAAAACTTGATACATAATATACTAATATAATAGACATTACTATAAAAACCACAGAACAATTTTAAACTAATGAATGCAGGCAAAATACAATTTTATTTTTAGGTTTTTTCAAAATTATTTATAATTTCGTCATTTTACGTCCATTATGATTGAGGACTAAAAACACATGATAAACACATCCACTTTTATCCAATATCTATCAGCTGATGGAGTCAGGTAGTTCTGTTTTTCAAAAACGCGATAATTAATTTTATTTAAATATTTAAAATCGAGTAACTATAATAAGCACATGCGCCCCATGGTTGATTTTGCGCTAAAAATATTCAATTAACATTATTTAAAAAGATATAACACACGCCTATAAAGTGTATATTTTCAAAAACTGCAAAACAAAGAATTATCTAAAAATCATTTAAATAAAAAATTTCGAGCCCAAATATTAACAGATTCTAATGATGAAATGCTGTACCCCTTTTCTAGGGCTTTTAACGCCTCATCAATTACAAAGGTATTCGATAGCGCGCGGTCTTCTTCGGTGTGCAGGCATTCCTCCTCGGACATATTTTGCCCACAGGTCCGACAAAGAACAAACATCAATTTATTGTTCATTTTTGTTGGTAAAACAGGGAGATACAAATTTCGAGGAGGTAAAACAGTGCATTTTATTACCCCGTCTGTTTCCTGCAAATTTATAGATTTGCATTGATCAACGCCGTATTTACATACCCAAGGGTAAAGGGAGCAAACGTCCATTTAATTTTTTCAACCCCTTTGGTCTTGTAATATGTCCTGCAATTTCCTGTACGACCCCCGTAAAAAGCATTTCGCGGGTTTAGAGGCGAATGGGATAATAACGGATGATTTTCGACATATTTTCCTATTTCGGTGTTCTCGCGCATTTCCCGTCGGAAATCACACTCCCATTTTTCGATGACATCATACCCTGCTGCTCTAAGTCTCTCGATTTTCGCCACTGTGGATTCGTACCGAAAATTCATTGATTCTGTAGGATCACCCGATAGAGGCTCGTCGTGCTGGTGCTTAAAACATCTGGGGCATCCGTGATAATAGCATCCTTGAAACTCGAAAACTTGATTTTCGCAAAATCCATCAACCTTTAACCCTGATAAAATTGCCTCTTGCCCTCTGCCTGCGTGTTGTATGGTGATTTTCCTCTGATTTTCTTCCCATACCATCCATTTCAACGCTATCATAGACTGGTTATTTGTCATTCTATATCCACCCTTAGGAATAATACCAATTGTGTTTGGTTTAAGAACATTTTTCCTAAACACTTTATTGCAGGCAGAGGCAATGGTACAGGCGTTGGTAAAGGGGCAAACATTGGTGGTTGTTATCATCTGCTCTCGAAATTTTAGACTGGCCCCTGTTAGAATTTCTACATCGGAAACGCAGTAATCGATTAACTCTTTTTGAAAATCAAACTGGTCGTGCTACCGTGCTAATATTCGAGAGCGGGTGGGGGGCCCACATAGTTTTGATTTTTTAGGGTGTTAAATAAATGGGGAAAATACCCCTTCTTTAGTGTTTTTAATCCAAAGGCTTTGAGGAGAGCTGAGAGCGACATGGGGAAATAATTAAGGGAATCCAAAAATTTAACGTTTTTCAGCTGCATCAATATAATTTTGGTTCCTCTCATAATTATCTCGGGAGTTAAATCGGTTTTCTTTAATATGTGGCTTAGAATGAATTGATGGTCGAAAGCCTGACCGTTGTGGGCTATGACAACAACTTCTTTGAATTTTTTTCTAATTTCCAAAACGTGCATCATAAAGGATGCGATAACGTTTTCACCCTGAACTTTTTGCAGCCTTAACCCGTATTTTTTACAAACAATATCCTTTGTATTTATGCACACGTCGCAGCATTGTTTAAAAACACACAAATTCAGCTCGTGTTCATAACTGTTGTCTTCTATCCGCTTCTTCTGCCTAGTCTCCAGATCGTAGAAAACAAAAAGTACATAATTTGTTTTTGGCTTTCCTGTATCTGGCTGCATGAAGCACAAATGCCCTTGTGGTTGGTGTTTTTGACAAATTTTACAAAAAATTTCCCCGCCTGTATGCTCTCTATTAGCCTTTATAGTTTTTAGGCAATTGGGACAGAGTCGGATTTGTTTACAGATGGACCCCGCCGTGCCGACTTGACTATGGTTATCATAACATGATTGGTTTTTAAATGTGCGAAGGCAATCAGCACATTTAACCTTAATCCCCACTTTACATGGTGGAGACCTTTGGCAGGCAACACAAGATTTACACATCTGTGCTTGTTTTTGTGATCGTGGGGAACTTGGCATTCCTCGCAATAATAGATGCAGCAGAAGGCGGCTGTTAGTGATGTAACAACATTATAGTGACCTTGGTGATGAATTAAATTTAAATTTTTAGCCCTCTCCTCCCCGGAGAAAATTATGTCTCGACCTTTACAGCCGTATTTATAGACAACTATACGGTGGTCTTTAAAATATTCTTGGAAAATCTGCAGTTCAGGTATTTCCACACCCCTCTTCAGGTATTTCCACACCGGCTTCCTCTAACAACTGCAGGGCTCGCGATGTTCCATCGTACTTTTACATAATCTGGATCTTTATTGGCAAAAGCTTTGGCTACGACAAGAGCACGAGGTAAACACAGGTTGTCCGTGTTTTTAATTGATATAATTCCTTGGCGTTTGCTGCACTCTTCCTCGAAGGTGTTATAGATTTTCCCTCTCCCTTTTCCCGCTGGCATTCTAACGAAAGTAACTCCCAAACAGAATGTTTCAGTATTCAGCCCAGTGGAATTAAATTGATAAATGCTGGAAATTATGTCCCAAACATTATCAGCTGAGACCTCCGAAGCTTTTTTAAATCGCATCTACCCTTGGCCTCTGGTAAAGTCTTTTGAACAGTCCTACCTGTTCGCTGGGTTTAACGTCTTTTGTGCAAGAGAATACAAGAGAATACATTCGCATGGTACAAGACCCAGGAGATCAGCTGGCAAAGGTTCCTTGTGGAGTTCCGGGAGACCTTCATGGCCAAGGGCCGTATCACCAAACTCATCTCCAAGTTCTACGGCGAAAGTCAGACCGACGAAGAAGACGTGGTGCGCTTTATACAGCGCAAACGATCCATGGCCCGGTGGTTGCTACCAAATACTAAGGAAGACAACCTGGTGGACGAGGTCTTCGAGCTGATGCTGCCACGGGTCCGATATGCACTACGACTAAAGATGCCTATGGGGATGGACGAATTAACGCGCTACGCCCGTGCTCTGGAGATCGACCTGAAGGCGTGCGATTTCAACAGAGCCACGCAGATCAAGTTCCGAGAGCCATCTTTGTCCTCGGAAAACTTCCAGCGGGGGAGTGCCAGCCGGAGCACTCCTTCGAAGTAAATACAGTACCAGAAGGTATGGGGCCCCCCGTGATCCAAATCCACATGCATGGGCAGGCGATGAAGGCGCTAGTGGACACTGGCGCCAGCATCACGCTAGTTGACCTAGCGTACGCTGAAGAGTATATTCCGGAGGCCAGGAAGATTCGAACCATCGGCGATGCCCAGCTTCAGGTGCTTGGAGTTGCACGGACCCATTTCCACATCCGCTGTGAACCCTACGTGCACCGGATGCACGTGGTGAGACGCCTACCCTACCCGGTGATCCTTGAGATGGATTTCCTTCAGGAGCAACAGGCCTTGGTCGACGTAGCCAGAGGGTGCGTATACCTTGGAAAGCGCGAAAGACTGGCCACACCCCGCCTCAAGGGGCTAAAAGATTTGTTGTTGTGACGACAAAATTTGCCAATGTATATTGATTCTTCATTCCTGGAGTAGCAAAATGCTGCTGGAATTAAAATCGTACCTGCTTAGTTTTTCGAGTTATTAAATAATTAAATAGGTAACTGTAAATCAAGACATAAATTGACTAGCCCCCTTTGGGTTGTTATATTATAAAAAATATTTATATTAGTTATTATATTATAATAATTTCAATCTTATCATAATAATTATGCATCATAAGTTAAGGGCGTTAGAGCAATAAGAGTTTAATTGACATTTTTTTACCAGCTGAAAGCTTGTTTTGGATCATATGTTTATTCTTTAGCAAAAACCTGTTGACAAAAAATATGTATAAAATAATATTTAAAATAATATTTCCCAACAATTAACCAATTTATTTAACAAATTTTACATAAAAATTAAATATGTTGTGAAGAATGGTGAATTGATTTTATATTTATTTCAAAATCTCAAAAATTCATAGTGAATGGATTCACCAGCTTGCTCCGACCAAATTCCTAGGCCATCCTGGCCTAAAAAGTACAAGCATTGCTCAATGTGCTCCATAATGACATGAACTTTTAATGTCTTGGATATTTCGGTAGCATCATATGCTTCTTTTAGCTCCTTAATTAATAAATTTAAATTTACATTACTTTTTCGAGAAGAAAAGCAACTATGAACAATTTTATCCATTGCCTTTAAAGCGCTAATAAATGGAATAAGTTTTAATGGCCCGTTATCTCCATATATATCTTTGTCTTGCAATTTTTCATGCTCCCTTAATAATTTTCGGCACGCGTTTCCTTCGAATACTTCTCCGTGGTAATTTTTGCTTACAAGACATAACTTTTGTGGCCACAATAAAGCTTTATCTCTGCCCACAACCTTCACAATACCGTTCCAGAAAATATGATTTACATATCCTTGTAGAATATGTAATTCATGAATTCATAACATAAGTCTCGTTTAGTTCCTCAAAAAGAGGTGGATTTATTGTGCTATGATATAGTTTTGCTTGGTCCTTTTTCTTTCCACTTAAGCAAAATGATTCATAATCTTTTCTTATATATTTCCAAAGGTTTTTAAATTTTTAAAATTTAATGGATTGTACTCTACTTGACAAGCTGGATCATTTTCTCTTGTATTTTGGTTGGTTGGGCAATGCCCAATGGGCATCTTAATTCACTTAAATTTATAAAACAAAATGGGCACGGAAAAGTAGCTGTTGCGGTCTGTTGTCCATTTATGGTTAATAATATTTTAAAATCTGATACAAATTTAAATGATATGTTATTAAGATTGATTAATTTACAAAGTAAAGCAATATTAAAATATGATTCTTTTATATCAGGTACAAGACATAGGATAATAATCCTTTGAACACTGGTTAACTTGGCCTTACTACCAACAGTGCCTCCCTCGGAATATGTTTTTCTTTTTTTACTAGCAGTTTCAACAAAATTATTATCATATATTTCTTCTGTTTCAAAAGGTTCCAATTGGTTATTTTCTGGAACAATTGACATAGATATTTTAAATGATCCCTGCCCGCTGTCTGCCATAATTTTAACTGTATAATTTCCTATAAGTTTACGTTCATTCAAAACCATTTCAACTAATTCCTCTTCATCGGCCCATACTACAGTTCTTTTCTGTTTTAAACTGTTTATTTCACCAAACTTCAAATTCCATTTCATTCATCTTATACAAATCCGCAAGGCGCTTTGAGTTTTTTGAAACATGTGAGCGGTAATATGGGGATATGGATTTCTTACCAGCGTTACATCGAATAAAATTAGTTACTTTTTGCATAGTAGTATTGGAAAATCCACAATTATTCTGTAAATTGTCTAAACTAACATTTGAAAATATTGCAGTGTCTATACCTTGTTTTTTTCGCCCATATGTTATCATTCTTTTTCGACCTCCCGTATTTAAATTTACTGTAACATTTGTTTTGGTAATTAAATTTGTATTAGAAACTTTTTTTTTAACAATATTATTTACAATTCGAAGTTGTTGAGACTAAGGTAGTGTTTCTATTATATTTTCTAAATTTTTACGAAATTTATTATGGATATCGCTAGAGCCATTACAAATATGCGGCTTACCTTTTCCCATTTCCGCGAAACAATTTTTACACATTTTTTCTATCTTAAGCTTAAAATTGGGTGTGTGTATCTCTAAAGATTCTTCTTTTTTTATTGACTTCACCCCATATTTATTATTTTTAGTTATTCTATTGCAAATATTTCGAGGTATAGGTCCTTTTCTATTTTTTATATGTCCAAAAAACCTTGCTTTTTCACAAATATAACAATTGCAATAATTGCTCTCTTGCACCTGTGCACGAGTTTCCTTAATTAATATGATATCCAAATAATTAGGCATATTTGGTAAAGTTCTTCTAAATTTACCCTTTTCCCGTTCTGACAATGCTAATCTGCAACTTACACATATACAAACAGGAAACATTGGATTCTTTAAACAGAAACTGGAATTTGAATATTTTCTTATTAGATCTGCTAATTCTTCGGATATTCTAAAATTCTCTGCAAGTTTTTTTCCAAATACAATTTTTCCACCACAAGGTGCACAAACTTTTTCCCTATTTTTGTTGTGACATATGTATTTTGACATATTTGAAAGAAATCAACGAAAAAATATCTTAAATATTGTGAAAAACATTGACAAGTTAATAATGACAACTTATTTAAACAACAATAAAAGTAGCAGGCTTTTGCGCATGTGCAAAAAGCATAATATTATGTAATCTAGATCTTTATTTTTATATTTTTTAAAATTTTCTGCTATGTAAATATTTGGAACTAAATAATTGAATATATTTATAAAGTACAAAATAATAAAAATAATAAAAAATTAATTATTTTTGACATAACTCGAATAACTAAGCAGGTTCGATTTTAATTTTAATGGAGTTAATATCTACAAAGGATAAAAATTATATACCAGGTAGCCGATTTTGTCGTCACAGCAACAAAACTTTTAGCCATTTGAGGCGGGGTGTGTGGCATTGTACTGGAGACCTGAAAAGGACCCGGAGCTTGAGAAGGAAGAAATCCAGCTTCCTGCAGTTCCCGAAGACCTGGTGAAACAACACCAGGTGCTGTTCAGCAGAAAGATGCGCCCGCCATCCCAAGTGCTGCGGTCGCACAGAATTAAGCTGCACGACAAGACGTCGAATTCGCCCTACGCTTCCCCGGTCGTCTTGGTGAAGAAGAGTGCTGGTTGGCGGTTCTGCGTGGACTTCAGGGAGTTGAACAAGCGGACCACCGACGTTATCAGCGTGCTGACACCGATCGTGGAGACCGTCAGGGACCTGGGCCAAGCCAAGGTCTTCACCAGCCTGGACCTGACGTGCGGTTACTGGCAGCTCTGGATGGAAGCGTCATCCAAGAAGTTCACGGCGTTCTTCACCCCCTTCTGGAGGCCAGTTCCAGTTATTGGCCATACCGTTTGGGCTGAAGTTGGCGCCGGCGACGTTCCAGAGAGCGATGACAGAGATCTTCGCGGGTATGCTTAATAGGTACGTCAAAGTATACTTGGACGATGTTATAGTTATAGTGTACTCGGAGACGTACGAAGAGCATGTGGAACATCTGCAGCGGGTTCTCGAGAAGGTGGAGGTGCATCAACTCCGCTTGAACCCCGACAAGTGCACATTTGCGACGCAGCGACTACCGTACCTAGGGTACGAGGTTGAGGGGCCCTTCACTCGGGCCCGTGAGTGCCACCTTCTGAAAATCAAAAATTTCGAGAAGCCGAAGCGTTTTTGGGACTCGTGAATTGGCTGAGGGGCTACATTCCGGACCTGGCGACGCTGATAGCTCCTTTGACAGCGCTGACGGGAAATGAGAAGTTGGTGTGGCTCCAGAATCATAAAGACAACAGGGCCAAGCTCACCAGGTGGGCACTACTTCTCCAGGAGTTCTCCTTCGAGATCGAGCACGTGGCTGGAAAATCCAACCAACTACCGGATTATTTGTCACGTCATGCAGCAGAGTGTCCCAAGGGCCCAGCGGTCGAGTATGATGAACTCATCCCCACGCCAGCAGTCTGCGTGGTCCAAGACGAGCCATTCATCAAGGAGATACTCAACGGACAACTTGTGGACCCCGTCACACAAGGCTTGGTGAGACGCATCAAGTGAGCCGAACAGGATGGCCCTCAGGACGACATCGACAGAAGCCTGGTGGCAAATTTTCTTGTGTCGGCTGAGAACAACTTGTTTCAACGAAGACCCGATGACACATGCCGTGTCTACGTGCCAGCTGGGATGCGGAAACAAGTTATGGAGTATTTCCACGCCGGAGACGCCTGGGCCCACCCGGGACAGGAGACACAACGCGCCATCGATGGGCGGTTTCACTGGGACAAGAGAGATTCGCCGCTTCGTGCAGGCCTGTTTGGTCTGCAAACAAATCAAAGGGCTAAATCTCCAGTAAGCAGCTCCCATGTCGACACAGAAGCCGACCCGGGCTTGGCAGACGATCTCCATGGACACGCTGGGCCGCTACCGAGGTGTCGGAATATGCCATCATAGTGGAAGACATATTAACCAAATGGACAGAGGCGGTCGCGGTCAAGGATGCCCGCCACAAGACCATCACGAACTACTTAGACGAGCTGTTCATGAAGTATGGAGTGCCCGAAGTTGCCGGAAGATGGGGATCCAGATGGTCAACTCGACGAGCCAACCCGGTAGAGAGGCAGGTTCAGGAGACGAAGAAGATAATCAGGACGCTGAAAACCAACCCCAGGGCCAAATGGTTTGACCTGCTTCCAAAGGCCACGGGAATCCTGGGGAGCCGAGCCAATCGAGCGACAGGGGGGACGCCGGCGAAGGCGTTCCTGGGGTACGAGCCACGTCAGCCAGGGGACTGGCTGATACCAAATCCAGACGAGGTGCGACAAGCGAGGGAAGACCATGACGAACAGCTCCGGACAAAGAAACAAATCTTCGCCCGAGAATACGTGGGCGACCCAGCCCAGGTCCAGTGAGCTTCAGCATCGGCGACGAGGTGCTGATACGAAACCATGACCGGGGGGTTTTTGGAGACCCCTGAAGAGGACCATTCACCAGGCCAGCTACAGGGCCGATTCCAGGCCAGCTACAGGGCCGACCCCAGGCCAAAAACAGAGCCGATCCCAGGCTACTCGTGGGGCCGATCCCAGGTGCCCGCAGTGCAGCGAATGGTAGTAACGCGAAGCCAAGCTACCATGTCGGACCCAACCGGCAACCAGCCGGCCCCTCACGTCGACGGCAGCGATGAACAATTTCATCCAGCCGAGGACAGCTTCCAGGAGGGCGACGCTGGAACGGAGTCGACCGTTCTGGTCGGACAATCAAACACGATGCCTTTCGACGCAACCAATCTTCCCGGGGACCATCCCGGAAGTGTACCAGAGACAGATCCGGAAGCATCCATGTTTTTCTCGGACCTGGAACGCAGCGTACAACAGGCCCCCGGTGTTCCTATCTCGCTGTGTTAAAAGTGTTCGTCTTTCAATGTTTTCGCCAATCGCAGAAGCGATAAAAATACAATTAAAAGTAAATTATATTTCATACATTATAAGTTATTATTTAGAAACCATTATAAATTGATAATCAATTTGTTTTTTAATGCAAGACATTATTTAGCTACAAACCATACCTACTTAAAATAGTCAGATTTGGTATATTTATTTTTCTGTTTAATATGATAAAACAATATTGATAATGCACCATTCAGTGTGATAATACCTCAATTTGACCTTGATTTTTTCAGTTTTTATTTTAAGTAGGTATGGATTATAGCTAAATAATGTTTTGCAATAAAAACGCATTTGTTTTTAAAATATTTATTACTACTTGAAATATTTTGACAGATTTGTTTTAAATGTTGCTAATACCTCAATTTGACCTTTGGCGATGAGTCATCATCTTGTGGTGATGATTAGAGCGTTGCTATTTTTAAGTATTAGCTAATATTTTAATGTTTTAAATAATTATTTTAAAATCGCGGTTTAAACGCACCCCAAAACTGTTGGTAGAATTGGAGATCTAATAGATAAGCCATATGCAACGATACAATAAATTCATGTAATGTTACGCAACATTATGTCAACTAAAGTTTCAAGGTCAGCTCGCGGTTTAAATAATTATTTTAAAATCGCGGTTTAAACGCACCCCAAAACAGTTGGTAGCATTGGAGATCTAATAGATAAGCGATATGCAGCGATACAATAAAATGATGCAATGTTACGCAACCAGACATCTATTGTTAACTTAGTCACTGGGTATCTATTATTTGAATTCAGACGACTGATATTTACTTACGACCAAGCATAAACTATATTTTTATATGTATTTTTTTGTTTTGCAGTTTATCATTTGTGTACCAGCATATAATATAATATAAAAAGTAAGAAATTTAAACTAGTTGAGGAATAAAATGAGGTAAATGAACATATATATAATAATAAAATTTTTAGTGGTTACGCAAAAGCAACAGCAACAAATAGCAAAAAGCACCACTCCTCAACAGTTAAAACTATATTTGGAGGCAATGGAAGGAGATTATGCATTGGGCGAAACCTTTATCAGGATTGGCAAAAAACTTAATAAGGAGCAGAAAATCAAAAAAAAAAGTTGTTGAGCTTTTTGAAAATTATTCAGAAAATTATATAAATCTGAAAGAACAATTAAGATTTGAAATTAAAAAATTCAAATTTTTAAATCCAAATTTTGATATTTAACCTATTAATTTTTGAGCGATTAGAATATTTATTTATTTTGTTGTTTATTTCTTTTTTGACTCCGGTTTATATTTTAAAGAATATTATTTTATTTTATTTTCATATGTAAAAAAAGTTTTTGTATTGTTTTATTTAGTCAAAAATAAAATTATTTCTAATTTAGTTGGCCCAAGGCTGCTTGTCCCAATTGATAAATATTACTATAATCATATCCACATTATCATTATTAAAAATATTCATGTTTTTAATCTTTAAATTAGCTAACCTAACAAAAACAAACTGTAACTAGCAACGATTGGCAAAAACCCGATCGTAAATAAATATTTTTATAAGATTTTCTGTAAGCGCAGAATTGCAAATTGTTTATAAGCTTATATAAAGTTATAGATTTGCTTACAGATGTGCGCAGAATTGACCTATTAATTATATAAGACTTACCACATCTGCGGTGTTATCCACAACAGAAGACAAAATGCCAAGAAACTTGGATGACGCATATGAGAGTATAATCTTAGGAGATCTCCAGATTTCATATAATTAGGATCACGTTTTTTAGACAAACTATAAATTACCTAAAAATATTCAGTGGGTCAATAAATTTAAAGAAAACATGCAGTATGACAAATTAATTGAGAGCACTCTTTTTAATTTTCAGCTCTATGGTAAACTATTTTGCTCTTTTAGTTAGTTAACAATGATATTTTGTCAATATTTTATTTAAGTAGTTTTTTTTCTCACCAAAAAATTTTCATTGTAAGCAAAACTATAGTTAATTACCTGTTTTACTCCTAAAAGTTCTGTAATATCAGTACATATATTTCCAACATAAATAACAATCCAAGCTGTAAAATGTATACTTATATAAATCCACCAAAAACAATTATTATTCATATTTAAATTCCAAAACATCATTTCTGGTATAATTATCCAGTTTTTTATTAGTATCTAAAATTCAAAATATGCATATTTATTTATTGGTAACACTAGTCAACAAATAAAAGTAAACAATTGTATCCAAAACATTTAAAAGTCCATTCCTATGTAAAAGTATTATCCAAAAGAGTAGTTTTTAAAATATAGTCAATTTTCCAAATTTGTTGTAATGAAGAAAATGGTTATACTTATTTCACAATAAAATTCATTAATATTAGAACCAATGCCAGTATTCCAGAGTTACGCATTTTATCACAGCCACAATATTTTTTCTCTACTCCTATTGCATGTTTTATTGACAATACAATTTATTAATATTAGAACCAATAAAATGCCAGTATTCCATAGTTACGCATTTTATCACAGCGACAATATTTTTTATCACCTTGTTTTGACAATTTGACAATTTTCTAGATTTGACATTGGTTGACATTTAAATCCTGTGTTTGTTATATGATTAAAATAATGAATTATAAACTCTAAAAGATGGATGGGTTGGTGTAAACGATAATGAAATTAAGGCAAGATTAAATAAATAAGGTTTATTAAAGTCTTTTTATATTTTAACGCACATTTTAATTTCAAATGTCAAACTGACAATTCGTTAAATCCTAAAATTCATGTTCTTACTAAATATAACTCGTGCCATGATTAATAATCGATGATATTTACTTATTGAAACCAAAGCAGCACATTTCACTCGTCCTGCGGAATCGTGAAATCTGCAGCTCGGTTTCAATTCGAAAATATCATCGATGATTATAATTATACCACTTGTTATATTATGAGTGACTTTATTTGGGTTTTTCATAATGCCATTAAAACTACCCGGCCTGAATAATGAAGTCAATATTCACGTTGTTATGAATCAGTGATTGGCCGATTGCAATGTTTAGTCACTATGGGCGGATTAAGGCATGGGCATTATGGGCTGCAGCCCAGGGCCCCATCCGATCGAGGGCCCGCTACGCAAAAAATTATAAATCGACTATTTAATATTGAGCCCGTTACAATTTCAGCTCTTAATATTATTATTAAGTGCCCCCTCATCGCGATTTTCAATTTTTTCATTTAAATAGCATGTATAAAAATTAACTTTGGAATTATATATATTTTAGCAGATTAATGGACTTATATAAAAATAATATTTTTATAGATTATTTGAAGTAAACGCTCTATTATTATTTTATAATAAATCTACTTGTTCAAAAGTTATTCATGCTTAAAATTACATTTATAGTAAATTTCAAGTTTTTCTTACTTTTCTGTTAAAACGATCAGACTTATAACAAAACCTTATGGGACTTTGGTAGATCATTTTATTTTTCAAAAACTAGTGTAATTTTATACTAATTAATTTCAAGAATATATCAATTTTATTGCAAAAAAATATTGGTATTTAATAAATTATAAATACTATTTATAATGGTTAATGTTAAGATTAATTGCAGTTCTTTACATTTCAATAATACTTATACAGGGTTGCCACCGATTTGTCTAAACCAAATTCCCTGACTTTTCCAGGAATTCCCTGACCTTCCCTGATTTTTTTCCAGACAAAATGTGTTTTCTTTTTGGTTTCCTGACCCTCAATGATTTTTTCAACTGGACTTTGATTGTTTTTTTTTTTAATTTTTTTGTATGAGGCCATTCAAGTATTAGGTAAGAAGTAATTTTGTAATTTTTAACCCCCCCTTCCCAGCAATCAAGCAAAGACTCCCCCCTTTGGTGCTTATGTAACTTGAATTTATTTTTGTCTTGGTGGAGAATTATAACGATTAATTAAAAAACTAAACTTTTATTGAAGTTTATAAAATTCAAAAACATTAACAAAAAATCAATACTTCTTATTAAAAAACAAACAAAAATTTCTGTGGCTAATTCTTTCGGGATAATTTTTAATTTAGGTTTTTATTTCTTGGGTTTTTATTACATTAATTTTCTGTTCAATCTGAAAATAACGGAAATAATGATATTTTTAAAAATGACTCTGAAATTTTGTCTGCGTCAGGTCTTGTTTATCAAGTTGATGAGTTCTTATCAGTAAATATTTGATAGTACAAAAAAATATTTTATTTCTTCTATCATTTTTTGCAGGAGTTTTTATTGAAGAAATTGATTTATTGTGCTTATTTTCTAGAGAAATATTATTATTAATATTATTATCATGTAAAACTGTTTCAAGCATACTAAAAAAAATTAGTCAAAAATGACATATTTCATAGTGAAAAAGCATGCTTCACTTTGAAATATGTCATTTTTGACTAATTCACTGCAGTTACTAATAACTGTAGTCCACAGCAATTTGTTTTCAGGACATTTAACAGCCAATTCTAATGTAAAATTGTCCCCTGAATCGGAAAAGACCATCATAGCAGTTTTCGAAATATAGTCAATTCCATATTATATGGAAAATTGAATAAACCTTAAAAACTGTCCTTTTATAACTTTTGACGACTTATTCGGATTTATGACTGCTAAATATCCGGGATACAAATTGCTGTTGACTAGAATTATTAGTGGCTGCTTTTTCGCTATGACAATTAGTCATTTTTAACTAATTCATTTTTAGAGAGTAGTATTTTCCATCTGGTTCATTTTTTTAAGAAAATTTGACAAATTTGTATTCTTCGTTGCCGAAATCCTTTTTTAATAGCCCGCACTTTTTATGTGGCCTATGACTGCTTGCAAATCAAACATTTGGCTTGAAACGGTTTTTTATCAACAGGAACTATGATTTTTCTTTAACTGATTAATTAGTTTATTAATTATGCTTACCATTTACAAAATAAACAAATATTAATCACCCTAAACATAAAAATAGTTGGTTATAGTCTTAGAAGGTTATAGTGATAAGTTTGACATATAGCGCTGCCATATTTTGAATAAATTAAATTTAAATTACACTAGTTAACATAATTTTTTTTTAATGAAAATTTTGTTGACCTGTTTAATTTATAAATAATCAATTCCCTGACCGACTTAGGAATTCCCTGACTTGGTAGATTTTTTTGCCAATTCCCTGACATTTCTAAAAAAATTCAAATTCCCTGACATTTCCAGGATTTCCAGATGAGTGGCAACCCTGTTATAGAAAACTCAACCCTCAGTTAGATAAAATAGCAGTGAAACAAGTGTCATAAAACCTTTCACAGATGTTTTTATGCACACAAGTGCCACTTTAGAGTAAGATAGTATTCTACCTAAATAAGGATCTTTTGTAAAACTGTTGGCCTGTACCGAGCATATGGTCAAGTCGCTTTTATACATTTTATTATAAATAAACTTTTCTTTACCTTTTAATAAATAACTCATTGCAACCTTATCCCAAAATAACAATAGGTTATGGGCCCAGTGTGCTAAGGGGTTGCTATTAAGAATAAGTGAGTGCGTGTTGCAATTTGTCGCGTTAATTGGACTTTAGTGAAAGTTAGTTAACAGTGGTGTTGAAATTTAAAAATGGATTTTGACATGGATAGATCGTCTAAGGTTGAAAAACTTCCGAAAATTGGCAACAATGGCAATTTGTAATAAAAATGTTAATTGATCCTATGGGAGCTTTGGAGGTCTGTGATGGAGTTCTAGTGAAGCCAACCGATAATCAGGCAGAAGATTATGAAACAAAGTTAAAGTCAAGGAACAAAGCAAACAGAGCCTCTAATGATTTCTGTTGGAAACGGCGAAAAAGTGCCTGGGTTAGTTCGAGGCAAAATTCAAATATAAACGTATGCCGAAGGTAAATGGCTTGCATGATGTGTTATTTACACCAAAAATGTCCCAAAGTTTTTAAGAAATGAAAAAATTGACGCAATCGGCGTGGACAATTTTTATAAAATTGTGTTACAAGTAATCAAGCCAGGTTAAAGTAAAAAGCGCACATTGCTGGACAAGTAAATTCCTTGCATCTGTGGCATGAGAGCCTTGCACATCAAAATTATAAGTATGTGCTGTCGTATTTAAAAGGAGAACATATAAATGCGGTGATAGACAATGATTTGTGTGACGGATGTGTGTACGGCAAACAGCTTGCACATCAAAATTATAAGTATGTGCTGTCGTATTTAAAAGGAGAACATATAAATGCGGTGATAGACAATGATTTGTGTGACGGATGTGTGTACGGCAAACAGCTTCGTCGAAGTTTTAAAGAAAGGAAAAATAAAGCATCGGACTCACGGGAGTTGGTGTATTCTAACGTTTGTGGGCCAATGAGTGTAGAATCATTAGGTAAAAAGAAATATTATGTTTTGTTTAAAGATTATTATAACTTATTTCGAAGTGTTTACTTTATTCGCGAAAAATCGAAAGTTGCTACAAAATTAGAACATTTTTGTACGAAAGTAAAGACGCGTGCGGAAGTAAAATTAAAACAATTAACTCTGAAAACGGTAAAGAGTACAATAATAAAATTGAAACAGAAATCCTGGGCAAGAGAGGAATAAAGCATGCGATGACGGTACCCTATACACCGTAGCAAAATGGTGTGGTAGAGAGAGACAATAGGACAATTGTGGAAGCCGCTAGATCGATGCTGTATTCAAAACCAAACGAAATTATGCAATAAATAAAACGGGGCCTTCAAAAGTGGATGCCAAAAAAATAATAAGTAAACTTTATTGTGGAGCGTATAATTTTCTAAAATAAAAGTTCTAATCATTTTAGTCAATTAATCCGTTAGAGTTATATGTATAATTCCAAAATAAAATCTTATGTAGGTGCCTACTTAATTTAAATCGCGATTAGCAACCAATATTGAGTGATATTTTAACAGGCTCGAGCCTCATGAGGCTATTAAATTTTTAGAAAAAAAATAGTCGACTTTTGTTATTCAGAGTAATATACTGCAGTATAAAATAATCTTTTTTTCATACTTTGAAGGCCCCTAGCAGCTAAACAAAGCAATTTTTGTTTAGGTAAGTTGGATTAAGTCGAATTATTGTATACCAAGAAATATGTGGCCTTGCATTGTACAGGTCTTATCGGGACACCTTGTATAAATGCTAGAATGTTTTATTTATATTATTTATTAGACCAGGGCCCCCAAAGTCAACGGTCCGCCCTGTTACTGTGATTTAAACTAACCGGGTTTTAGTAACTTTTGAAATTTTTATATTCAGCAGACCATTTTACGTATGAATTAAATGTCCGAAAAACAAATTGCTGCCTATAGTGTAATTAACTTTAAAAATATCATACCTGTAAAGTTCCAGCCGTAATAATCACATAAATAATTCGATGTAAATGGCGTAAATTTAACTTCAACAATAAGGTGTTTAACTTTTGAGATATTGTACTGGTTGATACAAGTAAAGAATGTGGTATAATAAATAAACATAATAAACACATGTCTATAAAAAGGGCCCATGATATATTTCTCCAGTTTCCTAAAATAAAATTAATTATAGATTTACGTTTTTATTAATTAAAAAATATTTTTTTAAACAACTGAGAAAAAAACAAAATAGTTTGGTTATTTCAAGCATAAAAATATTTGAATTACCACAATATTTTATAATAATTTTAAATGGAAAAATAATAATTATAATGGAATGGGCGATCGAGACGAGAACTTAAACTATAATACAGTGTTACATTCGATAAATAAATAAAATAAAAAATAATTAAAGATCTTAAGGTCTTTAAATTAATTTTTATTTTTAGTTATTGGTTTTATTTATTAGGGTGTCCCTTATTTTTATTTTTTTTACGCATACCCTCTAATTATATTTATTACGTGTTTATATACTCCCAGTAAAAATTTTAGCTCATTCTATAAACAGGAACCCGTGCCGACTTGCATCTGAACCCTCCGTTAGCCAACGTTAGGCGCACGGTATTTTGTAACACGGTTGGTCGCGAGGTCTTCGATCGTAAGTCATTTTGTGTTTGTTATTATGTGACCCTTATATTATAAATTATTGACAAATGTTAAAATATAGTTTTATTTATGTGTATACTTTGATAAAAATGTGTATTTTCACAGGGAGTGGCTAGTTACCCGGAAGGGTCTGGTGAATAGGCCGTAAACTCTGAAATTGATAAATTTAATGGGTTTTACTCTAAATAACTAAAAGAGTCTATTGTGAGAGATGACTACCGAAAACTTATTGAACTGTCTGAAATATTTTTGGGAGGACATCAAGAAAAGAAATGCTTATAAAAAGCTGAAATTTCATATAACAGTATATTTTAGCAATACTAATTAGTATATTAATATATTTAAAGGATAAAATCAACTAAATTAGTGAAACAAATGATAGAAACAAAAGCAATAATATTAATTAGTAATCATATTCAATAAAATCATTAGAAAAATACAGTCATGAAGTATATCTTCTTTTTTAAAGTGTTTCGTGTTTAAAATACCGCGCGCGCCTAACGTTGGCTAACGGAGGGTTTAGATGGAAGTCGGCACGGGTTCCCGTTTATAGAATGAGCTGAAATTTTTACTGGGAGTATATAAACAAGTAATAAATATAATTAGAGGGTATGCGTAAAAAAATAAAAATAAGGGACACCCTAGTATACATATATAAGTCCCTAGTAAAGTCGAACTTTATAAGACACCTTAAAAAAATGTATAAGAATAAGTATTCTTATAAGGCTACAATAAGGAATTTTAAACCTTACAAGGCTAATGGAGCAGAATAAAACTAGGGGAAAGAAAATCTCATTAGGATTTGTCTTAAGTTATGACTTATAATTATAAGTTATAAGGTTAACCTAGGTTGCAAGCTTGCAAAACCGTTCTAAAACAGTGATCTTAACTCTTGAATACTATATATAATATTCAGTTTTTAAAAATAATTAGCAATATCATTTGATAAGATTATCAAAAATATTTTTAAAAAAATTATTCAAAGCAAATAATTGTTTTTACAATCAATCAACAACTAATGTTATGTTTTCAAAAATGATAATTACTATAAGGTACATTATGATTTGTTAATAGTAGCTGTAGCCGTTGTTGTAGCCGTACTTTTCGTTTTTTTTTCCTCGAAGCTTTACAAACGCCTAGGTTTGGTCTAGGGTAGAACGGTTTCAAAATTTCATTTGAGTATCGTTCCCGACGATTGATGACATGCCCTAAAAATAAATATTAAAAACAACTTTTCAATTAATTTAATATAAAAGAGTCCCATTTATTTTATAATGTTATTCAACGTACAAATTAATGAATCACTTTAAAAAATTCCAATATTACCTATAATCTGCTCGACAGCGGTTTTATCTAAAACTGGTGTACATTGAATGTGCGTTATCCCTGCAAATAGGGAACAGGCATTCAACGCTTGTGGGGTAAATATCCCCACCATTAGCTGTTTTTTTGATGAAAATTTCCTAACACATTTTTACTTACCATCCATGTCAATTATAGAGACTTTCGAAATTTTTGCTCACGACACAAAAGCCACTACGCCCCAGATATTTAATTTCAATCGCATGGCACGTCTTGGGACCTTTTGAGATTACATTTGTAAGTCCTTACAGATAAGTCAAAATTTGAGAGGTTGTAAGTATTAACAAGTTTACAAATATTATATGTAAATGAGCGTTTATAGATTTCTTTTTTATGTTTAGGAACATCTAAAATTTGTTTTCTTCTCATAATTAAATTGTGAATGTGTGTTTGAAATCTTATTTTATCAAGCAAATATTTTGGAATTTTGTATTTCAAAATTTTATAATAAAAACAACACATATGCAGACTTACTCAATCTATTCTTCTTACACTAAATATTAATTTTAAACAAGAATTTTGAAGATGCCAAAGACTTTTTTGTCAATAACATCAAGAATACCAAAGATTCAGATAAATTTTGTTTGGTTTTTTTATTTAAATACATCCTGTGTGGATATATCATTTTCAGACTACCATAACTTTTTAAGTATAGAGTTTACATAAAGCTTGAATCTTAGTTTGCTGTCTAGTATAAGACCAAGATTTTTTGCATTGTCTACAAACTTAAGAGTCATGTCTCCTAATTTGATTTTTATGTTAGATATTATGGTAGATCGAATAGTATAATTTGCAAATACGAATACCGAATATTTAACAGTCCTTGGATTTCTTATACAGCATTTCGAGATCTTTATTAATAACACTTACATATCTATTCAACTCACTCTCATTAAAAGAAAAATATAGCAGTGTATCATCGGCGGATACATGATAGTATATATAAGAGGTCCCAAAATGCTGCCTTGAGGCACTTCTGATAACACCTGATTAGAGTCTGATGTTCCATCATCAATCTGTACCCTCTGTTGATATAGTTAGTTAGTTAAAATGAAAAATTTGTTTTAATCTTTTGTTGTTTTACACTTTTTTGAAAATATTTCGCAAACGGTATATTTTATGATAAATTATTATGATTAACATTTTGTACCTCTTTTAATATTTTACAATTTCAAAAGAAATAGAGCCCGGTTCGACAACAAGAGCCGACCAATCCTGGAGTGAGCATGACCGCGCTCGTACACCCATAAGAACGCTTTTTCTCACTACTTTAGAGGAAGAGTCTCAGGCTCGTTTTTTAATTGAGGAGCATCCGTGCAAAACCGGCTAAATCAATTTTATTCAGTTTTTGTTTTTTTTTATTTCGCATCTTTGGGTTTATTTCTATCGACAACCAAGATAATTCGGTTTAAATCCGACTATGTCCATGTTAAAATCACATTAAAAAGGTAGCTTTAGGAGCAAAAGCGGCCAAATTCACGTTTTTATAGCAAACCCGGCTATATCCAATAAATAATAATGATGAGCATGTGGTTTCGATATGTCGATATGTCGATACTAAAATTTGTTCTGTTTTTTCATGTTTTCACTAAATTTATTTTGTTAATATTTTTGAATAATAAAGGTTTTTTTCACATTTTTTCGTAAGTTTTTGAGCAAAACCGGCTATATACAAAACATTTTTTGAAATTTTGGCCTTAATGTAAAGTTTTTGAAAACGAAAGTATGTCTTATAAATCAATTGATTTATACTTTAGTTCCATAAAGCCCACAAAACTCAAGTTTGCTTTTTTTGTTATCTGTAAAGGCCAGGAAACCAAGAGTTTTTGCCATTTTCCCAACATTTTAGTAAAGTGGATATAGCCGGTTTTGCACGGATGCTCCTCAATTGCAGTAATTCCTGTAGGTCTAATCCACGTCAAAATATATTTATTTCTTCTATGTTTATAATCTTTGAGTGTGATAGGTCTAGCCCTTTTTGAGATTCGCTGTATCTTTTTAGACCATGGTTGGTAGATCAAACATATTTTTTGGTCAGAGTCAATGGAAATCTATCTAAAGTTTAAAAATATTTTCCTGCAAGAAAATGTTGTACACCAGCTCGAAATAATGTCGACAAGTGATGATGGCTTTGTTTCTCCTAACTAAGAGGTCATCATTGGCTTAAGCTTTAGCCCCTCTATTCTGGATCTAAACATTCGCCATGCCTGCACCGCGGTGCACCGGTTGTAATGTTTAAAAAGATGGTGTTTAGCTGCCAATTCTGTAGATGGTAAATTAGCTAAATCGGACTTGATTTACACGATTTATCCACGAGAACACCTTCAATCAAAAATAATCTAGATATTTTTAATGAAAATAATATAAAAATAAAAAGCTGTAACGGTTTCAAGAGGTTACAACCCTAATGGGAAAAACATTGCTATTGCCCTATATGGAGGAGAAAGCAATAAAACAACGCTAGATCATTTCCGGCTAAAGCTGTTCTCGTGCACGAATGGTGTAAATTTAATTTAATTTCGCTAATTTGCTACAATTACAGGCTAAGCATAATTATTTTTGAACATTTCATTAGATTTAGCCATAGCTGGGGAAAAATTAAAGCTAAAAACTTGTGACGACCTCAGGAGGGACGGTCCCATCATCACTGGTCGACATTATTTTATGCTGGTGTACAGATCAATGCAGCAAGCAGCTGTCGAAAATGTTTTGTATTTTGCAAAGCCGGAAAAATATGTTTAAACGCTCGTGGATTGGTCGCCTCTTGTTAGTCGCATCAAGCTCTATTTTTTATATTTTAGAAAATTAATAGGGCTAAACACTACTATTTTTTCTAAAACCGAGCGAAAGGTACAAATTTGCGCTTCCAAAAGAAAGCGCAAAGTTGCACTTTTTCGAGGAGCAAGCGTTTCTTTACTTTGTCGCTCGCCGAGCGACAAGTAACTAAAACGCTCGCTTAGTTACCATGGAAACCATAATAACGAAGGTCAAGTATACAATGCGACTTTTGACACAAAAGTCAAATTTGAGGTTATCAATAATTATTAATTATTACCAAACATTTTTATAAAAACACCGCTTGTAGAAAAAATCCTGTGTGTAATTCGAGCGCAAAGTAACAATGCCGCTCTCGCGATCCATCTA